ATATAATTTACTGATAGAAGGGATGAGTAGCATCCTACTGACAGAGACTGATAAGATACACAGGGTAATATTCTGCCACTGAATCGCCTCAGCTAGATGATTCCCATATAATGCTGTTCTGCAGGTCATTTGAGTGCAGTTAACCCGAGGTTGAAGTTCAATCATGATTTGACAAAATCCAACCACAGATGCATGGCTGCCTTCCAACTTCAGTGCTCGTCTACAAGAAGAGTCCTAACATGGATGGTAGTTGATAGTCTTCATCAACATCAACAAATATCAGGAATGAAGCAATGGACCTGGATCTTCACATGTTTGTTAGTGATGGACAGCCTTCTTGGCCAATTGGGTAATAGAAAGTTGTTGGCAACGGAAGAAGCTTCCCCCAATTTTCTGTGATGTTCACAACGTAATCATCACAAGCACGATACATTTTCATTTGCATTGTTAACATTTTTGTAAGTCTAGGCCAGAGGCTGACCAAGTTAATCAAGTGCTGTATTGTAAGTCTTGAGGCATCTTTATGTTTTGTGGTTGAGAGATGTCTCATTCCCCTCCCCTCCCTCCTCTACTCCCTCTTCTTCCCTCCTCTGCTCTCCCCTCTCTCTCCTTTTTCTCCTCTCATCTACTTCCTTCTTCTTCCCTTCCTTCCCATTTCTCTTTTCTTTTCTTTTTTCTTTCCCCCCTTTTCTCCCCTCATCTCTTAAAAAAAATGTGAACACGTATGGGTCGCACAACACTGATGTTTGCCTGGATTTGGTGCACGTGCTGTGGTTTGCTGACCTCTGGTGTGGACACTTACCACACACTAAGTCAAGCCCCGTGCTGGCTAATTTCTGTGGTGTGAGTGTTCTCTGAGCTCTCACTATAGTGACATTGTACACGGAGTCAGAAAGAACAGCACACCATGACAGCATTCAGTTTCAGGCAGCCAACACCCTCACAAGCATAAGACCCATCCAATTACTATGATGAAGTGTTTAAAATGTTTGTTCATTGTTCTTTAAGTAAGCATCTTAATTTTCAGCACATATAGTCCAATTTTTAATAATGGCTGTGCTTAGCCATCAACTCCGAACCATTCTGAAGATACAGCTGCCATCTTTTGTGAACTAAGAACAGACTCTCGTGTGTCACTGGGTAGGATCCTGCATCTTTATTTTTCCCAAAGCTTCCTAAGGGATTTCTGGGTACACCTCAGTTATCAGTGCATCTGGCCCTGTGCATGGTTGCCTGGGTTTCAAAACCTGTGGGTTCCATTATCAGAAGTCTCTGATGGAGCCCTTCTAGTCTCTCTCTGCTTATCCTACTCACCGGCTTCTAACGGTGCATCGCCGGAGTTATCATTGCTCTGCAAGCCTGGCACAGCCTCCCTGGTCCTCTGCTCTCATTAACCACCCTCGCTGCTTTGATGGCTGAACAGTTTGCCAGCTTTAATCTTAAATATTTATTTGTAACTCGTGGGTAGCATTCCCCACCTTTCCTCTCTCTGGGAACTAGCGCCTGGCATATAGCCAGTACACTCTAGATATGAGAAGAATGAATCTTCCAGGAGTACCCGGGTTCCAGGGGTCAGTGGTCCGTGGGAAGAGACAGTCAGATCATGGAGGCTTTGTGGGCATCTTTTACCTGTTCAAGCTCCCCACTGCCAGCGGACGTGGGAAGTGTGGTCTATGAGGGACTGGCGATCAGTGGGAGGAAAACAACCGTCTTTCTGATTTGACCATCTCTTCCAGGGGTTAAGTGGTTTTCCTGTGGCTCTCCTGGAAGCTCTGGCTCCTGGGCTCGGTTAACCTCCTCTCTCCTCTTTGTCCCTGTAATACTGAGTACCCTGCTTCCTGCTGGTGCTTATCTCCGGATTGTCTTTCCCTCCCCTTCACCCTTTCACCTCTCTCTGCAGCAACTCTCCTGCATTAAGTTCCCTCTCTCCAGCTCTTTTGTTCCTAGGACCCTGTCAGATGAAGCCTGACATGCTGTGATGAGGGGCCTGGTCTCGCGTCCTCTGTGGGCTCTTCCACTCAAAGCACCGTGGCAGGAGCATTCCATGATGAAATGGAGCTCTCCTAGTTGCTTCCTAGAAGATTCAGTTAGCAGACATACTGGCAGTTTGGGGGAACCCTAGGGAATTTGGAGAGAGCCTTGAAGGATCTGAGAACTTTCCGTCACTCCACGCCACATGTTACGTATGTGTGTAATCAGTTTTGTTCTGGGATGGGAGCCCATAGCTTTCTTCAAGATTCTCCAAGGGAATCCAAAACATGTTAAGGTCTATTGGGCTAGTTTTGTAGGGAGACCAGTCAGGAGTCCAGTGGGTCGATGTTCAGCGTGGGTCCTAGCGGGAAATGGAACTGACCTGAGAGGATGCAGATGGAGACTTTAGAGAGGGGACCACCTTCAGAAGATGGGCAGAGCGATGTGACGAACAGAAGACGGCAGCCTCTCTAGGTTAGCAACTATGTAGAATTATTAGACCCTGTAGTGTCACAGGAAGATCCTGGGTGACTGGGGCTTGCGATGGCTACAGCCACTCAATACAAGCAGAGTTTTGGGGGGACTCAGAGAGGGACAAAGGAAGGGCCTGGTTGACCGCTATCGTCTTGTCCTGGCAGCCAGTCTGAGTGATGTGGTGAGCAGGGCAGAGAGTGGTAGAGAATGTGGGTAAACCGACGGCATGGGACAGAGCAGCGTGGGTGGAGAGTCACCAGGGCAGAGAGTGGTAGAGAATGTGGGTAAACTGACGGCATGGGACAGAGCAGCGTGGGTGGAGAGTCACCAGGGCAGAGAGTGGTAGAGAATGTGGGTAAGCTGACAGCACAGGACAGAGCAGCGTGGGTGGAGAGTCACCAGCACACACTGAACCCACACTGAACACACTGCCTCAACCGCCCCAGAGGGAAGTGGCCCATCACGTTTGGTGGCTCCGGGCAACGTCACTCCCCATCTGATTTTGCTTTTTTTGATCAGATCTTTTCCCACTAACTCGGCCCTGCCTCCAAAAGCCAGATCAAGAGACGCAAAACACAGATTGCTCTGTTGTTGTTAACTTCACTTTTCCATTGTGACTTAGAAGCTCTTTGGCCTCGGAAGTCACAAAAATGTGCCTTGGGCTTCATCCATAAAGGACACGAGCTGGATTTGATGTTCTCTGTGGTACCTTCTGGCTTTAACAGGTTTTGATGTTCGGAGAGGGTCTTTGGCTCCTTCCCGCTTAAAGGCCTCCAGTGTTCTGACTCCTTCTAAGGAGGTGGGCACCCTCCCTTGTCCATTGTCATTGCAGTGGTATGGAGGCTGCAGGAGGCCAATGGTGACTCTGCCCCGGTCCCTGCAAAGAGCAGCCTGTGCATTATCAGCATTTATCGACTCTGGTCATGCTGTTCATCGTTGTCGGCATTTGTGCAGAAATGCTTCCCTCTATGGAGGTGTCTAAGTGCTATGGAGGCCACAGAGGTGTTGAGTTTGCCCATCTATTTGTATGACGTTCTGTGTCCTAGAGAAACATCACATACAAAACCAGGCCTGGCATCCTTGTTTACCGGGCTGGCGGAGGAGAGCGAGGAATGCTGCGGGAGGGAGCTGGCTTTCGTATGCATTTTTTTTTCCTTTTTAGCTTTAATTTTATTAGCTGATGCAAATGATCTGTTCCACAAATGTAAAACAAAAGGACAAGAAAATGATCCCTGTGTCAACATCAGGATGTCTGACTTAAAACCCCATTCAAACAACTCCCTAAAAATGATCAGACACTGAATTCATTATTTTTCTGACTTTGACAAAACCAGTCTGCACAAAGCAGCAGCCCCATGAGGTTATGGATAAACCAACCACGTTAAAACTTAGCATTTTCATGTCAGTCACAGATTTTCTTAAGGGCCAAGTTACTGTTTAAGGACTAATGTGTTTGGAGAGGAGAAAAAAAAAAAAAACCACCCCGCACCGTGTTATTAGGCAGAATCCCTTTTACATGCAGGGTCTGAATCAGTTTGGCCTCGATTGTGTCTCCTGCTTTATTGTCCTACTTCAAACACAGGGCCGTGGGCATCATCTCAAGGAAGGGCTGATTGAACTGTCGCCCTGACACTTGTCAGCTGTGGATAATACGGGTTTCAGTCTGTCATGCTTTCACAGAAATGAACCGTGACAGAGATAGACTTTTGAATAGAAAAAGCGGTTTTACTGTGGATAACCTTTCTTGAATAAATGCAACAAATAATAAAACCTGAAGGGGGGGAGAGAGGGGGAACATACCGTAGAAGAGCAGGGGACGTTCAGAACCAAATGGTTATTATCCTTTTGGGCCATCAAAAATTGCCCATTTATCAAAAAATGTGTTATTGAGAGTAAAGGTAGGAGTACTATGATTATCATAAAAATGATGACAAGCGAGTCTGTGCGGTCCACAGTATAATATCATATAACAAACCCCAGATACAGCTCACCGGGATTAAAAACAGAGGCAGTGTGTGAACACAAAATGCAATCCACAATTGTTCTTTGAAAAATGGTGGCACATGTCTTAATTAACAGAGCGAAAGAAGAATCAGAAACTCTTTTTATTTAATTTCTTCTTCTTTTTAATTGAAAAAAGAAAGAAAGAACTCCCAACAGAAACTGTGCAAAAGTCCACATTTCAATCAGGACAGTCAAAAGAATGATTTGAATTTACAGGCCTGTAATTGGAACAAATTGGAAACAAAAGAAGAACTCATTCAAGCCACGTGATGTGGCCACAGGGCTGCTGTGTACAGTATGTTCTGGAAAAAAAAAAAATCATGTTTCTTGAAAGCAGAGAACTCCACTGCAGCCTCCAAGCAATTTGCATAAATGTCTCTACCATGATTTTTTTTTATTTATGGGACCTAAGTTTCTAATTAAATACTAATTAATACTATCACCAGAATTGTCTCCCATCCCCAGCTCTTCATAGCTTTGTCACTTTGATTAATGCGCAGTCATTTATTAACTTATTTAACAAGCCGGGGTGCCTCGTGACAAACTAGATTAAATTATCTTCATAACAGTCTCATTACTGAAAAAAAGAGAGAGTTTTAAACTTAATAAAAATTATCCTCAATAATGTTAAAGCCTTTTCACCGTACCCTTAAAAGATAGGAATAGGTTTCTTGTTTGATTTATAATATATGGAGTTGTATAAAGCATCCATTAATAAAATTTATAAGTTCATTTAAGCTTGCATATTACAGTAGTGCTGTAGCCGTGGGTGCTTATTATTTAACTTTTGCTGTAGTTATGAAGATAATTAATGTCCTGACCAGACAGGGACTAAAATACCCACTAGAATGAGATAATTAGAGACATAAATAATGTTTAGATTCTTGTGGGCTGCTTTCTAAATTAATTGTTTTGTTTTCTATCCAAACTTGATAAAGAAAATAAGAGTTTACCAAGACACTGGGCAATGAAGGTTAGGGGTTTGTCTCTGGATTGACAAACCCTCAAGAGACCAGGCTCTGTCTGTGCTGGAGTAGGGAGATGTCTGTGGCAACTGGTCACCCTGGCTGAACGTTCAGCCCTCATCACTCTCCCCGGCTCCCTCAAGTGGCCAGGTCCGGTGCCAAGCCCATCCTGGCAAGGCTTGCTTGGTAATGGACTAGTTGGGCAGCTGAACAAGATGACTCAGAAATGGGGACTGAAGAGATGTCTTCTCTCAGTGGTGAGGTAAAACTCAAGTCTCAGATTCGAAAGAGAAAGTGCTCCATGTGCCTGCCCTGACAAACAGCAACGCGGGGAGGAAGTTGTGGCTTCTAGACCCCGCTCATCTGCAAAGTAAATATGCATAAACAATTGAACACACATGGAGAATGGAGTGCTGATACCGGTTGGGCTACTGTTTAAAGCTGGTATGCACACTGTTCAAGGGCATCTTCTGTCCTTGGCGCTTGCTAAAACGGCACCCTTTCAAGCTCCTGGTGCACTATCTAAGCCCTAGGAGAAGGTCCCATCCTTTATTCTCCCAGCCCCTTGGAATCCTTTGATGGAAATGAGTTCATGACTATGTTTTCTTTAAGGTTCTAGTGTTCTGAGTTTTGGGGTGGAGGGGCCTTTGGAAAGAAGCATTTGCTCTTTGGCCACAACAAGTAAGGCTAACACGTTGCCATCTACAAAACCCTTTGACATACGTATACTGTGCTGTCTCTGTGCAGCTGGACTCCTGCGAAATTCCTAAGGAGGGCTAGTTAGCATGGCTGCTGAGAAGTTGCTCGTGATTTTAGCTCACACGCCAGGGATGAGCACCTGGCGCTTTCCCCTTCTGCTTTTGTGGTCTTCTCTGCTGTGTGCACTTCGGCATCTCTCCCCACCCTTTCTTCCTTTCACTCTTCTTTTCCTCCTTACATACGTCTTTTTCCTTGCTTCAGAGGAGAGAGAGCAAGAACTCTACTTTGTTCTGACACTAGCTAGTCAAACTGGCAAAGGCTATTTTGGCAGAAATTCTGTGCAGGGGGGAATGGTTCCGAGAGTTTTATCCGAGGTTCGAGTGCTTTGGATGGTAGTATCTGCTATTCACACCCCATCCCTGGGTAGTGAGCAGATGACAAAAATGTCTTTACTATTTATTTCCCTTGGTTAGCATTAAGACCTCCATTTTTACAAGTCTTTTAGTAGAGATCTATTAGTATGTGGTGGCTTTGGCCAAAGAGAGATCAATAGTAGATGATGTGATGGCTACATGTTTCTCTAGGCCTCTTGGAGGCAACTTTATTTGAATTTTGTGTGTTACATTCCTAGATTTGTCCAGTATTCCTCTTGGTACGCAGACCAAATTCACTTAGGCAGGGCATCTCTAGGAGGAACAAGTGAGGTTTCGCAGACTGAAGTAAAGGTACAGTGAGGGAAGAGCCCAGGAAGGTGAAATCCCTGATGCTTCTTTTCCTGTCTAGAGCCTTCTTGTGAATACCCATTGGCTTTTTAATTTTGGCCTCAGGGCTGGAGAGTAGAGTGAATATGGCCACATGGACTGGGACTATAGATTAAGGATGCAAAGTTGGAAGAACAGCTACGTTGCTTTTCAGTGGCTCTCAAACAGTAGTGGCAAAACCAAGTCCAAGTGCAGATTCTCTGCCTCCACTTTCACAGTTGCTGATTCAGTCTTTCTGGGATGGGACTCAAGAGCATGCATTTATAACAGGCTTCCAGGCACACAGATGCAAAGGAACAGTCGATGGACCAGTTGTTATGAAGTGCTGGATGAAGAAGGGAAGAAAGAGAACATGGAAGGACTGATAGAGAGTGAGGGAGTTTTGTTTGAATCATCTTTACCCTCCAGGACAGTCCTGAGATCTAGTGTAGACCCTGCTTACCTAGGGCTGCATCTTCGTGTGTGTGTGTGTGTGTGTGTGTGTGTGTGTGTGTGTGTGTGTGTGTGTGTGTAGGTGCCCCCTACAGCTACAGAGAGAAGTTTAGTCACATGAACATCTCCTAGGTTCTTATCAACACCTCTAAGCACTTTCTCTGGAGGATGGACTTAAATTCTCATCTACACAGTATCTACCTGAGGCTGTAACATTAAGATTTGACTCTTTGTATTCATTTCTTCATTCTGATAGAAAAATCCTTCATTGAGTCTGAGTCTGAAGAAGATGAGGGTGCAGTTGTGTCCTGAAGCCAGGGCTGCTGTAAGCATTTGAGTAAAGATTATCTACAGGGGTCCTATTTCCCACCTCCAAAGCAACTCCCTAGAATAACCAAGGTATGAAAATTGCCTTAATTAAATTAGCAGAAGCACCCCTGACATAATCTGAGTTGGAGTCCACCATGATGCATCTGCCCCTGCTCCCCAACAGTCAGGTTTATTGTTTAAGTAACATGAGAAGACCAAGGGATTCAGAGGGTAAGGGCCCCCCCTCCCTCCCCTCCACAACTTCAGAACTTCTTTAGCATCCAGCGAGGACTTCCTGACCTATTAGAATTTCTCATGTGGTCCTGCCGTACCGGGATGGAGTCACCACAAGTGAACACAGTTCAATATAATGAACATTCACACTCACAGACAAATGCCAGGCACAGTGCTGGGTGCTGGCAGCAGGTGGAGATGGAAGAAGTTTCCTTGTAGATTGGTGTGATTGTGGCCCTTTGAGGGACAGCAGTTCCCTATTCCTGAGCTAAAAGAGTAAGTGGTAAGGCCATCTGAGATAGTGTTGACCTTTTGGTATCTTCCAGCCACTTGGCAGAGTACAGAATACTTGTGTCCAGATGTTTCCATCAATGGCTTTGAAATGCAGCTGTGGACACAGGCAGAAAGGAGAGACAGGGCTTGGAGCACATATCTCTACCACCTGGGTTTTATAAAATTATCCAATGAGAATGGCAGAGAACACTGAAAAGCTTGCTTTTTGTCTTTTAGAGTCTTGTGTCTTATACATTTCCATTTTGGCAGAATATTTGAGATGAAGAAAATGCCAGTCTATTAGTAATATCTAAAAATAAGTAAAGTGATGTGACTATGAGCCCA